TTCCGCTCAACATGATACAATTGGAACACAATAATCTCTTCTTCCCCAAAGTCTTAACAGTCCCAAGCATTGCAAAAATGTCTGAGTCAAAAGTTTCATTTGACTCTCAAGGGAAAACTCTTAGCTATGAATGTGGCTTTTTTTTTTCTTAAGTTACATAATTCCAAGGCACATTGGCTTAGAATAAACACTCTCATTCCAAAAGTGAGGAAATTGGAGACAGAAAAGAATAGGATCAAAGCAAGAGTGAAACCCAGCAAGCCAAACATTAAATCCTGTAGCTCCATATCTGGAATCTGTGGCATGTGGTAGTGAGACATGAGTTCCAGAGGACTTGGGTGGCTTCAACTCTATGGCATTGCCCATTGTAGCCAACACAGCCTCTCTGTTAGTCTCATTCTCCTCACAGCCTGTATCTTTCCTCAGCAGACATTCCACATTCCTGGCATTTCCGACATCCTAGAGTCTCCACTGCACCTTTAGATTCATTCCCACAGTTTCATGTACCACTCTTTCAGGGCTATGTGCCTGACCTCCCAGGTCTTTCTTTGAAATCTGGGTGGAAGCCTTCTTGACCCCACAGCTCTTCTATTCTGCATGCCAGTAAAACCAGCATCACATGGACAGTGTCAAGGTCTGCTTTCAGGAAAAGCAGTACCCAAGCCTCCGTGGACCAAGGCTGCAGTGGTCTCTGAGTAACTGAATGGCTCGGGCTCAATGAAATAATTTCTGGGTAATCAATTTCCAGGAGGCCCTGTAGACCTGGGATCCTGAAGGAGACAGTGGTGGGGTTGCATTAAGATGAGGAAGATGCTAGGGAAGAGGCATTTTATTTGCTTCATTTATGTTCCTTTTCTTAGAACTGTGATCTTGTAGACTTTCTCCTCTGCATCCCAGGTCCTCTGTTATCCCAGTCACTTCTCATGACTTCGTCTCAGGTAACCTTCATTTCTTCATTTCAGTCATGCCATTCTCAAAGTCATGGCCCAAATCTAGTTATCAAGAAGAGTTGTTTCAGCTCTGAAATCACTAGTTCAGACATTTCCTTCTGACTACAGATGGCCATTTTTTTTTTTTTTGATACCAGAGATTGAACTTGGGACCTTAAGCTTTCGAAGCAAGAGGCAGAACCACTGAGCTAAATCCGTGACCCCAGATTTTTCAACTTTCCTACTCAAGATACTCCATATAAAAGGCTGGATATTTTGCTCAGTGGTGCCACTGCCTGCCTCAAAAGCACAAGGCCCTGAGTTCAGTCCCCTCCCAAAAAAAAGGAGAGGATGACATCTTTTAAAAAGTGCAGATTTCCAATGCTGAATGTCATTATGTTGTATACCTTAAATGTACCGATAAAATTAATTTCTAAAAAAAGATATTCCATATATTGGATTCATGTTTTCCTCCTATTTCTGAGTGCACAGCTGGCATACTTGTCCAACCTGTCTTGGATTAATGTGGCAAAATCCCTCAGGAGCAGCAGTGCTTCTTCTACACTCTTTCCCTTTCAGCAGTGAGAGAAAAACCTAAGCAGGGCAAAACCACAGGATGGAATTAGGGGCTAGGGGAAAGCCAGGGCAGGGGAGGAACCTTGATCAGATCTGCATGTGAGCTAGGAATATATTTCTATCCAAAACTGAGGTGCAGTGAAGTTAGGTCACTAGCTCAAGGCCACATGGCAAGTATTTAGTGGAGCCCAGGTTTGACTGCCTCACACTGGACCAGATGGCCACACACATTTGTGATGTTCTGCTTTCTTACACATTGAGAACTTGTCTCTTTTTGTATACTCCTGTTACACATTAAGAGTTTTTATCGGCCAGGTGTGGTGGCACACTGTAATCCCAGCACTTGGGAGGCTGAGGCAGGAAGATTACTGTGAGCTCGAGACCAGCATGGGCTACATAGTGAGTTCCAGGTCAGTCTCAACTACATATGAGACCCTGTCTCAAAAACCAAAAAAAAAAAAAAGAATTTTTGTCATTGATATTGTTTTGCTTTTGGAAATGCTGGGGATCAAACCCATGGCCTCACACATACTAAACAAACACTTAGCTTAATCCTCAACCTGAGAGCTTTTACTCTAGTGTTTAGTCAAATGTTGCCAGCCAGTAAAAGATTAATTTTCATTTTTTTCAGAAAATGGATCATGTGTGTTTGCTACTGTTGCCTTCCAATGCTTAGCAGAGTATATGACATATAAACATTTACCAAAATCTGTGCCTTGAATATCATAACTCCTAAAATTTGTGTGTTGAAATCTTAACCCACAAGGTGACATTAGGAAATAGAGCCTTTGGGAAGCCAATTAAGTTATAAGGTTAGGAGCTCTCATGAATAAGATTAGTAGCCTTCTGCAACAGGCCCAAGGGGGCTCTTTTACCTGAGTCCATGATGAAACTCTATAAACCAGGAAATAGGACACACTCTCCCCCCACACCACCCCCACCCCCACACAGAATCTGTTGGCACCTTGGTCTTGGACTTGCAGCCTCTAGAACTGTGAGAAGTAAATATTTGTTGCCCAGTTTATAATATTGTCATTATTCCAACTGAATGGAGTATGATATCAAATGAATAGCATTAGTGGCTAAAGGAAAAGATAGGAACAAAGTCAATAAAGTGGTTATTTCTCCTCTCTTCTTTAACTGCTTTGGAATGAGGGAGATATGACTTATTTTGAGGAAAAGCATACAAATATTTTCATATGTTAAAGATAGGTTAATCAAGAACTGACTATATCTAAGTTAATTTTTTTAAAAAAGAAAGAGAGAAAAATTAGACTGAGAGGCACCAGGTAACACAATTACCATACAAACTTATCAAGATAAGTTAACATCGAGGAAGCCAAAAATGAAAGACCAAGAAAGCCAGCTCCCCTTACCTTCTTGACACAATGCAAAGGCAATAAGTGACAGCCACCTAAGGACTCTTAATGTGTAAGATACACATGCACACACACATGCACATGTATGTATGTTCTCACTTTACCATCAGTATAGTATTACACCAGATACATACTTGTACACATGTCCCACTTACTAAATCCATAAGTGAGCTGCCTTCCTAAGGGAACCTCCCCCTTCACTTATTCATTACAAAGGGACAGGAAGAAGCCCAAGGCCAGAAGGAATGTAGGTAGACAAGTCCAGGTTAGGATCAAAAACAATCAAGAGAACAGTATCATATATCTACACGCTCCCACCTGGTGAATGAGAAAGATATTAGTTCTCAAGAAAAGGAGCCAGGGATAAGAGCCATGCCACAGAAGCTGTCTCTCCTCTTTCTTTTCCACATTTTTTCTGAATGAACTGTCTTTCGCTATACTAAAAAATAAAAAAAAGAAAGATCTGTCCTTAGTGTTCATATTTCAAGTGATACTTGAATAGGAGAAATTGTTTATATGGCACTTAAGAGCTGTCTGTAATTTCTTTTCCTGAGAAAAATTATTACTTAGGAAAAAATTACCGAATTTCTGCCATAGAGACAGATTTTATGCCCAAGTCATTCTCATTCGTTAAGTCCTAGTTCAGAGGCTCCTTGTTTTACCTACACCATCTGAATGCCCAGGCTGAACACCTATCTCACCTTACCTCCTCCTCTCTCATGATTCTGCCTAGTCCGCCTTGTTCTTGAGGAATTCTGAGTTCTGAGAGCACCTTCATGCAGGTGAAGCTCTCTCCCACAGCGCTGGCACACAGTGCTCAATAGATACTTGATGAATAGATATTCAGTGGCTCAATTGACTCCTGAATAGAGAGGCCTTTTAGTACAAACAAGCTCAGTACTGGCCTGGAACTAAGAATTCCCTAATAAAAAAAAACATAATAGCATTGGAAGTCATTGGAACACATTTGAGGAATTCAACATACGGTGATGCCTGCTGTGCTTATATCACATACAGTAGTCTCCAAACTTTTCATTGATTCTAAAAATTATCCTTCCTATAGATTTTACTTAGAAATGCTTTCTTCTACCTTGAGATTTGAGAACTTATCACTTTAGTGACCTTAAAAAAATTCTCTTTTAAAATGTAATTTGCACACAAAGCTTAAGGAGACAACCTTTCTTTCATTGAGGATCAGGATTAACATGTCTCATTTGAATTCCTGAAGTGAATTTTGTTTGGAGTTTGATCTGAATGGATAGGTTTAAGTCCTAGTTTAAGACCTGAAATATATAAAAGCATATTTACACATTTCCTGGACCAAATGCTAAACCTAAATGTTGAAAGCTAACCCTTTCACAAGAGTCTTATAATTATCCCCAAATATATGACATGATTGTTGAAGAAAAGAGTTTGGAGATAGAAATGAGAAGTTCCCAGTAAACAATAAAATTTAACTAAGTTAAATTAAAATTCCCATAGCTGAAAAATTAGACTGTTAGAGGGCAGCCATTCAAAAGTCATTCATTTAATATATTCTTTGTTTATAGCATTCAGATTCATGTTTCAGTGTAGGTGAATAGCCTTAAAGGCAATTATTACTAATGACTTGTTCAATACCAATCTTTTCCATCAGAGGGCAGTAAGGGGCTGTACTGAGGTTACTTTTTCCCAGTTGGACTTCATGACTACATTTAGAAGGAACCTAATAATCCCAGCTGCACAAACCTCAGACAGAATGGAGACAAATCAATTTATCCTTGGCAGAGGAGATTCAGATAATCAAAGAAATGTCTCCCAGGCAGAATAGAAACATGATTTCAAAGCTTGGCCCCTGAAGAGGAAAATCCTGTGACCTGAGGCCTGGTTTTAGATGAGAGTTGTGTAGCCTAAATTTATTTATGTGATCCTGGAAGTGGCTAAACTTTAAAAAAAAAAACTGATAGGTAATTGGATGTATTTTCTCTACATTAAAGACTAAATGCCCAAAAATTGGACTTGGAGAAATGGAATCACTATTTCTAGAATTTCACAACCTTGAGGCAAAATTTCCAAGTCAAATTTATAAGGTGTATAGGGACTTAGTTGCTTGTTTTGCTTTCTTCTCTATTGCCAGTTACCTCCTGAGAGCTGGGCATGGATCAGTAAGATCTCTCCACTGCAGCTGCCAGCAAGTCTGTGCCTGATTTGGCAAGTTTCTGAAAAGGTACCATGGCCTCCACCCACCAGGCTCTCTAATGGAACATAACACTGGAGAACTATGCCAAGGGCAGAACTAAGCGTTTTAGTGTCTACTGCTGAACCCAGGAGCCATCTTTTCTGCTGGAAGAAAAAGTTGGTACTGAGTTCCTTAAAGCACTTCATTTAGGAGCTAAATGGTAGAGAAAGATTATTTCTATACACCCAACATTTCTAAAACATTCATTTTCTGTATTCTCACAAAACACATGTATACATGCAAAGAAACAAAGTTCTCCTAAAAGCTTTCTCTTTCTTAGTATTTATTGCTATCTTTTTTTTTGGTACCAGGGATTGAACTCAGGACTTTGTGCTTGTGAGGCAGGCGGCGGAACCACTGAGCTAACTCCCAGGCCCTGTTGCTATCTATTTTCATAAACTCTACATACTGGCAGGGTATGCCTCACAGGTATATGGGAAAACATGAGCAGAGCAATAAGCAGTTATATGCAAATCATGACAAGATACTCCAGTGTGATAAAGTGAATACATGGAGCCACAGCTAAGGCAGTCAATACTGGGATAAAAATTAATAATACTAAAATTAGCATGAAATGTGAAATAGGAAGAAAAGGTGCAAAGGGGAAGGAAGTGGGAGGGGTAGGAGAAAAGAAAGAAGGGAATGGAATTAATATGAGAAAAAGAAAAAATGGAAACAAAGTCTAAATAGGGAGGAGTGGAGGGGTTAAAGGGAGGGCAGGGGAATGGGGAAAAACATTTTAAATGTGCCATTAAATACTCTAGTATTTGAAAATGCTCCCTGAACTCAAAGTGTTTGCTTTGAATGTATGCTTTTGTTTCCAGGAGTATGAATCAACTGTGTTTGCTTTAAGGACTCTTCTGGTTTGATGCCAGGTGCTGATGTTGTAGAGGGTCCCCTGGTTTCTTGGCCCTCCAGAGAAGGCTGGGCCAGGCTGCTGGCTAAGAGGGTGGCCTCTATGTGGAATTCCCTGCTTGCTGTCACCTGAAGTATAGGAACCTTGGTAATGCTGAAGGCTGGCTCCTCATACTCTCCTTGTGCATGCTCAAATTCCCATAGCTAACTTCAGCTGGAAAACCCACAAAGGTGTTTCCTTTCCTTTTCCCCTTTCCTAAGAGACAGGTTCTTAGAATGGAGTGGAATTGTGAATCTCAAGTTGGCTCGCACACCTGCCATTATGTCTTTGTGTTTAAGGATGTCCTCAGTTAAAAATTTCTAAGACCTTGTGCCTAGTTTCCCAGAGTTAGAGGCAGCAGCAAAGGGACAGGTGGGGATGAGTCGTCAGGAGGTGGGACACAATGCTGTTAGCCAAGATATAGAAGTTCTGGGTCTTCCAGAGCCTTTGATGGTGGGAGACATTGGTGGGGTTCTATGTCTGAGTGTCCAGATCTACCCAGGGTGGAGCCTGGAGAGGAGGAGCTGGTGGCCTCAGTGGAGCTTGTGGGCTCCCAGACCTTTACTGGAGAATACCAGGAGCTTCTATTCTTGGAGATCCCAGGATGATGTCTGCTGATCAGGCTAGAGCCACTAGTCCTTCACCTCTGGGGTCTCTTGACAAGAAGGTATCTTCTTCTTTACTCTCTCTTTCTCTGAGTGAGTGTGGAGGTGCAGATTCTGATCCATCACAGGATTATGAGCTCAAAGTTTTGAAAACCATAAATAATAGTCTTACCTTATCATTTGTCTTTGAACAAAAAGTGTGCCCTAAACCAAACAGCTATTTGGGAAGCTGAAGAAGGAGGATCCTAAACTTTGAGGCCATCCTGGACAACTGCAGCACCAAAAAAAATTTTTTTAAGGTGTGCCCTATGATCTTCCTCTCCTATACATTAGGAGATACTTTCTGTGTACATATCTTTGTGCAGAACATTGAAAATAGGCTCAGAAGGCCTCATGCTTCTTAAGTAACATCTGTTCAATTATCAGTCACTTTACAGTACAGATCTAACACCCAGTGCTGCAATGGGCAGGGGATGATAGTGAAGAGTGTGAAAAAGGGGACTATATTAAGTGATAATTAGGTGACCCTAGCTTTTACAGCAAGGCTCAGACAGATCCCCAGACTTCTCCTTATGAACATCCAGAATTACTCCCAGATCACAGCCAGTCTTTCCTTAGCATCCACACCTAGATGCAACTCTATACAAGTGATCAGCCCCAGGTTACAATCTTCAAAAGACTGATCCACCTTGACCCTGAGCTCAGCCCTGAAACCTCAGTGGACAGATGACCTGGTGCTTTAGGAATAGGTGTGGTGGAGGTGGCCAGGGGCAGAGGACTCTAGCCAGGTAGCCAGGCACCAGCAAACAGAGGCCTTTCCATTAGAAAAACCTCTCCATTCAATGGGCTGGGGATTTAACTCAGTGGTGCCATGCCTGCCTTGTAAACACAAGGTCTTGAGTTTGATCCCCGGTACCACAAAAAAATAAAAATAAAAAAGAAAGAAAAAAATCTATGTTCAAATGATATCAATGCTTAAATTATAAGGCTCTTATAAAAAAACTACACTTTTATAACTCAGAAGCATCATAATTCTATTGAATTATGCTATAAATGGATATCATTGAATCAAATGAGACCAATCAGTGAACATAAGTTCCTATCCTTCTAGAAACCTCCATGATATTATATTGCTTTTAAGACCTTTCCAATCTTATCTGCTGCTTCTTTCTAAAACTACAATTCTCTACTCCAGGATTTCTGAACTTTTGACATTTAGAATAGAATAATTTTGTGTCTTAGGAGGCTGCCCTGTACACTATACAACATTTAGTAGTACATTTGGTCTGTACCCACTAGGTACTAGTAGCATGCCTTCTCCCCCTCTGAAGTCACAACAATTTAAAAATGGAGAAATTGCCAAATGTCCCCGGGGAGAAAACTCACTCCATGTAAGAGCCATCAGGAGGCAAAACCACCCTCACTGAGAACTTCTCTTGCCCATAAGATAACATTCCCTTCTATAGAATAACATTTCCATAAGCCTTCCCCTGATTACACATAGGCACACACATGCACAACTTTTCTTTTTGTTCCCTTTATTTGAAATATTCTGCTTTTACCCTTTCCACTGACAAAATTGTCCTTATTCTTTAAAGCCTAAATAAAATGCTATTCTGTGTAGCTTTCCATGCTATTTTCTATCAGTAATCACTTAATTTCCTGCATGCATCTTTATTTGTAATAATAATGTTCACCATGTGAAGTCACAATTGCTTATTCACACTTCCTTCCTTTTCCCAAGAGTCTATAAATTCCTTAAGAGCAAGATCTGTGTATCCATACTCCCCAGAATGGTCTCCTATGTGTGAATGTGTGCAGGTGGTGTGTGTTGGTTTCTGTGTGTGTCTCAGAGACACAGACAGACAAACAGACAAAGAGACTGAGGACTGAAAAATATGCACAACACTCAAGTAACGTTTTATTTAAAGTATAAGCTAAAACCTTAAGCTACACCATCAACTACATTTTGTAGAGGACTGTGTGGATTTTAGAAGCCACTAGCTAGATTAATTTTAATTATTCTAGACCAAATTTGACTTCTATCTCCAGCAAATCTAGATTACTAGGTATTTTTCTGAATAGGCACAGTACCTGCCCATCTCTACAGCATTCTGCACCATTGTGGAAATAGTTGCCTTCACCTGGAAAGTTCTGCTCTCATTTCTCTCTCTACCAAAATACTCCTTAAATACCACCTCTACTATTCACAACCCTAGACACAACACATTGCACCCAATACAAACATCTGCATGTGTGCATGCAGATGATCTCTCTCTTTGGAAAGCACTGTTGCCTTCTCTCCTTTTCTAGCTCTCCTCATTCTACTGATAGAAGGCAAAGATTGTGTGTTCCTCTTTTTAATTCTGTGGCTTCTTGTAGAGTGACTACAAGGCTCTGAATATGAATTTGTTGAATTTAGTAGAAAAATTATCTGTTGTCTTAAAAATGCTGAGTTAATATTCAGAGACAAATTTAGGTCAGTATAGAAAGGCAAGGGCTATGAAACCATCATAGAAAAGATATATTCATGTAGCTTGGCAAAAATGAATATGCACTCTCAGGCATTCACAGTAGTTCATACATAATGAAAGTAGCTCTTTTATGGTAACAAAGGTCACAGGAATCATCATATCAGGCTAACCCCATCAAAGTTTTGGTACCTAATTGGATATGGGGCCAGGACAACAGAGGAGTTAAGAATAAATAATATCATCAGATCCTGAGCCTAGGCGCTAGGATGATGATGTATCACTCACCAAAATACAAAGGTGTCTGGGGGTGGTGGCTAATGACTTCATTTGAGATGCCAGTGATTTAACTGAATGAAAGGATCACAGAAAACAGAGATGAGCTTGTGAAGAGCCCAGATACAGGCTTGAGAGTCTCTAGCTGAGGCCAAGGGAATATATGGATGACTGAGGGCTGGAATTTGTGATAAGAGCGGATTAGAGGGACTCATGAGGAAGGCAAGCAGGGAAGCTGGGGAGCAGAATTCTATAGAAGCCAAGAAGGAATTTCAGTTCAAGCATTGCGTTTCCAGGATACAAATGATGCAGAAGGAGGTATGAATGAAGCCTAGAGTGGATTTGTTGATCTGGAAGTGTGTTGAGTTTTGGGAGATGAGAGTGGGAGAGAGGGGCTAGAAGCCAAACTGCTAGAAGGAAAGGAGCAAAGAGTAGAGAGAATGTAATGGATGAGAGAAGAAACCACTTTCCTCCCCAAGTGGATTCATAATGGAAGGCAGCCTGTCCTTCAGTGGCCGGAAGGGATGTCAGGGTTCAAAAAGGTTCTGTTTGTTTTTTTGGCTGTGCAAGAGTGACAGTTGTTTGTTGACAGAGGGAAAGGAACTGGAAAGCAGAAAATTTTGAAGTTATGAGACAGAACACTTAATAAGCGGTCTTGTGAGGAGGTAGGATGGGATGGAGTTCCCTGAGGAAGGGCTACCTTTGAAAAGAGTAAAAGTATCATCCTCTAAGTGAGAAGGAAAAAAGGGTTAGGAGTGATAAATTGTGTAACTACATAAAGAGAGAAAAGAAAGGTCACCTCTAGGCATTCTCACCCTGCCTGAGCAAGAGGCGAGATTGTGAGCTGAGGCTCACAGGGTTTGTCGAACTAGAGTTTCATCCAAATGATCCTGGGACAGAAATCCTAGGGATGGACCAGAGATGAATTAAAGGAT